CACCTCAGGCTTATCTCAACGGCTTCATCACACGCTACAGAGACTGGTTGTTGCCCAAATATCTGGGCAACCATGATCCCGACGACCTCGCCTACGCCTTCATTGGTAGGTCTGTATGTCTTTGGCTGCATGCAAGGCATACACCGTTACTATGTATACAGGGTGGGGTAGCATCATCAGGGAGTCCGCATCCATAAATTCCGACCTTTCCCTTACTCCTCTGCCTCGGTCAGTTAATGAAATAGTAAACGCTATAGCCCGCTTTCTCTTCAGGGCGACTGGCGTGTTTTTGTGATGGAAAGTTAAAATATCCAAAGCATAAACTACACTTGACCTCCTCAGAAGGATCCACCTCAAGACACTTGTATGCATTATGTATTTTGTATGATCAACCTGTTTAAGCATGGTTGACTGACTTTATGATAAAGACATCGTCATTCTAGGCTGCTGAAGGTGAGTTAAGGACTGTATGTTGAGTTCCCTCAAAATGTGATGAATAAGCCTCAGGATGACATTGAATTTCCCTTTGCCTTTTCTCGAAATAGGCTATCTCATCCAGGGTGTATTGCAATTTCAACCTTGACTGGGCCTCATCAGCATCCCCAGCGGGATTCGATACCGGGTCGTGGATATCGGTGCGACGATACCCTTTCACTAATCAGTATTTGAATCAGCTCAGCAATCCAGGGTGATCAAGTTCTTATTTAAAACTTACTGAAAGTGTAGAGAGCTACTAATATCAGAAAAATTCAAATAAAGTTAAATGGTCTGGATTATTAATGTCATCGCCTTTCAAGCAAATGCGCACAGGCCACAATTTTCACAGCTCCGATTGTGGAATATACCACAATCTACCCCATATAATCTCTCATGTGAGTCTGCTTCTGCTCCACTCAAATATTCTTCTCCAAAAAATAGCCCTGGAAACTATGGGATGCAATCCTCCTCATAGCATTGCAATTTCAATCTTCATTTAAGCCAGTTTTTTCCGTCATTTTCTGTCGGCCAAGAGGTCCAAGATTGTGTCGTCCTTTACTTGGCTACAGTCTTCTTTAGCCGTTTAGATTCGATTCGAGCTCGTTTTCGCTGCTTTATCAAACCTTTAGAGGTTATTTGTACCTCCCATTTTGGGTCCTCATAAAGCGAAGGCTTCAACGAAGTCTATCAAGGCTTTAACGAAGAGTAACTGGCTCTTGATAAGTCTCCTGAGATAAAATTGTTGTGGAGACTTCCATTTCGTATGAAAGTACATGAATCAGATATTCGAAGGTCGATCTCACATTGTTTGATTGATAGATTGAGGGAGAGAGGGAGTGCTGAGAGGCCATTCGGAAGAATTCGAGTCAACCTATCAGCTAAATGATGATTTTAATCTCACTCACACTCAGCCAACATATATATTAGGCTCATCAACTTTCCTTGGGTCTTTAAATTGTTAATGACCCTAGACTGATGGAGGATGGTTCCTCTTGAATTATTAAGCCTTGCTGACCAGAGCTTGACTAGGCTTCTTTGAGCACTATGATTTAGAAGCGGTATTGCGTAGACGTTAACGCACATCCTATATCTATCTAGGTCTATATATTATCGTTTTTCAGTTATGAAAGATGCATTCATCCTGTTTCGTTTAGGATGATAAGGAACTGGAAGTTGAATTTTCCCACTTTCATATGAGTAGGCATAACGTTTACATTGAATTGCACATAGCCTTGCTTACCTAAAGGAATCTTCATCTAGGGTGGGCTTCAGTTTCGACCTTGCTTAGGTCTTATCAACACCCTTAGCGAAACTCGAACCATGACAGTGCAGTGTATACTCTCGAAACCTTAACCACTACGCCACATTGCCATGAGTGACCTTGGGTAAAAGGGTAGAGGTGAATTTCAAGGACGACTAGGCAATTTCCCATTGTGCATTCTGTGGTGAGATTGTCGATGAGACAAAGATTGATTTGCTATAGCAATCGACTATGTTACCTATTTTTCGTTCATAAGTAGGCTTTCACTGTCACTCCCATCACAGAATGCGACATGGGAAAATGCCTGGCTATCCTTGAAATTCACATCTGACCTTTCACCCAAGGGCACTCATGGCAATGTGGCGTATTGGCTGAGTTTTCGAGAATATACTCTGCACTGTCATTATTCGAGTTCTGCTTTGGGTGTAGATGAGACAAATGCGAGGTCGAAACTGCCGACCATTCTAGATGAAATTACCTTTAGGAAATCAAGGCTTTGTGTCATTCAATTTACACGTTATGTCTATTCATATGATTGTGGGAAAATTCAACTACCAGTTCCCTTATTACCTTAAACGAAATACGAAATATGTCTATACGAAAGCATACTAACAAACGAAAAATAGATATGAGATAAAATAGAGTCGGATAATCTTCTTGACCTAGTGTTAACGTGAGACTTTTACAAGAATGTTTTCCAGTTTTGATGATGTCAATCATATGAAGGACGAAAATTTAGCCCATTTTGTCCCAACGAATGAAGATGTCTCAAGGATTGTGTCAACCTGAACATCGTAATAAAGCCAAACGGTTGCAATATTACGGGAATGAGCCATCGTGTTCTGGTGAGATCGACCTTTGAATCTCTCTTTCATGCACTTTCATACGAAATAGAAGTCTCCTTAACAGAGCATTAAGGTTAAATATTCGTTCTGTTTCTCATCTAGTTTAATTATTTAAGTAACTGCATGCATAACATAACAAATCTTTGTTACGACTTTATTTTAATTGGATCCACTATTTTTGACCTTCATTCTTTGCTATTAGATCATGTAATGCTTTGATCTACTATTTTCCGCATAACTCATAGGCTTGTAGATGAGTTAAGTTGATGCGTAAAGTAGATGTGGATGTGGATATGGCAAAATAGCTGCTTTTTTATTTTTATCCTTCACTACTTCTTAATGTTATGTTGTGTTTCCTTGTGTGTTGTGTGAATGCTGTGCTCATGAGCCAATTAAGGAGGCTAGAGAAAAAATCAAACACCAGACTAATCAAGCCTCTTGCTCATATTCCGTGATCCATCCAACTTCCTCTCCCCTTCGAAACCCAGTTTTTATACATTCTATATTACAACCTTAGATTATCGCCTCTATTCTTTTCTAATCTAGTTCATTCTTTTCAGTATGCCTCCTAATGACTCACTAATCTCCAATTTTGCCGTAAAGTTTTCATATCCTACAAAACCTTGTGCTTTAGGCAACTCCATTCAGTGTCCTCTGTTGAGCATATGTTCAGCCACTTCTGATTCATAGACACATAGACCTTCATGGGCGGTTTCGCGTTCAGATAGCCCCTTATGTATGGTTCGACGGGTCTATCTCACATGGTCGCTGCCATATAAGCATAAAACCTCATAATTAACAGATCCAGCCCGTAGAGAAAGTATTTGTCTCTTTCAACTCATCCCTTCCTTAGGTTGTTACGAATCATTTTTCGAAAGCCAACAGAATAGCAATTTCAGTAGAAGGGAATAATCGTTAGGCTTCCTACTTTTCTCGAGATATATGTGCACTCTGATCTAATCTCAGACTGCTGCTAAATAGATGTAAACTCATCTCAGTAAAAAGTAACGTGTTACTGTCACTGTTCGACTCCCACTGGGGGTGTTAATAAGACCTATGTGAGGTAGAAACCGCAGTCCACCCTGGATGAGAACAACTTTTCGGAAAGAAATGTTCTGTGAAATTCAATGAAAACGTCAGCTCTATTCATATAATTGTGACAAAATTCTACTACCAGTCCCTCATCACCTTAAACGAAATAGGGTGAATATATCTGATATAACTTTCTTTACATCTTTTATTTCCTGGTCTTAGTGATTTAACTCTACCAGGCACATACTTTTTATTATCATTTATTTATTAATGCTCCTCCTCTTTCTTCTTCGTATAGTAGTAGAGTTTCGAGAGAACCAGTAAATAAGACTCCCTTTATCACAGTAACCTCTAGCGGAACCTTCAGAACTCCATTTTTCCTGTCAGCAAAAAACCGCTAATCCCAATTTTTACATAATGTCTAAACCTTCAACTGATCCGCTAATTCCCTATTTGCCCAATCTTCTTCATCCAAATCACCCTTCTAGTGACCAATAACATCACTGACTTTTCTGACCACATGAACTTAGATGAAGAACAGCGTGAAGAACTGAAGAAATTGCTGAAAGCGGCTGCGTTCGGCAAGCGAATGGCAGCTATCATGATGGGCATGCCACCGTCGGCCTGGCACCTGTTCGAGAGGCTGTTCGGCCAAATAGCCAAGAGTGGCTTTCTCAAGACGCCGGACGATGACTGGATCGTCAAACGAGCTTTGACGTCCCACGGACTGTGGAACTGAATACTGAAAAATAGTACTAGATGAAAAAGTTATTTGAAATAAATTGAGATTTGCCCATCCGATAGCAGTTACCCGCATAGTTGAAGAGAAGACCATGTGTGAATGTGTATGCATGTGCACTTTGTGCATAAATGCGTATGCTAGAGCACACATGTGCATGACTGAGAACGTAATGTGAAAGCAAGTTGAAAGATAAAATAAACATAAGCACTCTGCCTATTTGACTTCCACGTATACATGTCAGAATGAGTAATACAGCCGAAGTAAAGTACGCTCCGATTGGGAAGCCTAAATTAATTACATATTTAACAATATTCCTGATATAATAGATTAACCCGTTAGTCTAATGAAACTGAAGAGGAGCTCGAAGGGCATAGATGACAGTAAGCACATGAATGAAATCATTGCAGCGCCCAGCGTCTTTACTTTATTCCACCTTTAAATAATTAAATCGCATTACTACTGACACATTAATGCATTCATACAAATAATTAATTATGTATATGCATACATCTCGTCATAAATCTCGAGCGAACTCTTTCATTTAGCACGACGGTGGCTCCTGTTCCACACCAATTCCTCACTCCTGGCTTGCCTACCCTCCTTTTTTACTCTTACTCGTCATGTCTTATCTCATCTGCTAGCACGAACGAGGGAGGAGCAACAAAGTCGTTGGTACAAAATGGCGCTTTTCTTTGGATGGTGTAAATTAGGCCTAGCAACTCATAGTAGTAACCCCCGAGCCTACATGTGTCTTCTTCACTCTCCAAAAAAAGGCCTCATATTAAGACGACTATTAGTCACAGTAATGACCAAATAAAGGCATATTAATTATTATATTTTCCTTTGCATATAGTCGAGATAGGCAAATTACAATTTCAATAGTCGTTAAAGAGTGGGGCTGGTTTTTTTTGAGTGAGTATTTCAATCACCCAAGTTGACTCAGTGCATAAGTGAAATTTCTCGAAATTAAATGAGTAGGCCATAAGCGACCTAGAGTTTAGGCCCAAGTTCTTATTCGATAATTGACAATTGTTTTCAAAAAAAACTGCCTGTGAACTTGAGAGATTCTTGTAAATAGCAAAGTTACTTTTATAAGCAAAAGTTCGTTCATCTGCTGAGATGAGATGCTGTTAATGCACGGAGATGCACTGGAATGTTGTGTTGATCTAATGTCGATCTGGGCATAGTCAATCACGTTTAGGTAGCGCGAATAAGGAAGTCGTGTAGACGCAAGCCTAACGACGAGGTCCTAGGCCAAGTAAGCGTGGTCTACCAGATCTGTATACATACAGCCGACATTTCTAATAACACAGATTCGAGGCATGTAGACACTAAGCCGGAAGGCTGCTTGAAGTGGCGTGAAGGTAAGGCGAGACGATATTCGTTATGTTTACTTTGTGGCTCTTTGACAGAGACCTGTGATCGGACTTGATTGACCTCTGGTATAGACTAATAATAGATTTTTGGCCACAATCATATAAGTAGGTCTCACGATGACAATGAATTTTTCTTAGCCTAGCCTCTCAGAAGCGTTTTCTCATTCTTGATGGACTCGGACTGGCCTGGGCTCTATCAGCATCACTAACGGGATTCGAAACAGAGTCTTACACGTCTTGGTAATACGTTATCACTTGGCTAGGTGGCCACGAGAGACAGTTCGTCATAGGGCAGATATGACTTTGATAGCAAGCCAGGCATTTATTGTCAGCTTATAACGGAGACACACATCGACGACTTATTTTTAATTTGAGATTATTTTGAATTTATCAGTAATTCTTGAACAAGAACCTAGTCAACCTGTGTCACTTAGGATGGGGTAAGGACCGATAGTGGAGTTTATAAACATAATCAGATGAAATCGGATTAGTGTAATCGATTGCAATGGCAAATACATGTTTGCTTAATTGATAAACTCACTAAAATGTGATTTAGTAGAGTTCTAGTGTATCCTGTGACTTAACTCCATTTGTGGCTGTATGGCGGAGTGGCAACTAGTCGCGACGATGGCCGATTGGGGTATGTCTAATCCGCAATTCAGCCAGGATGTTAATAATTTTTAGAGGCAAAGCTGAGTGAAATTTAATGACTTCTTGAGCTATGTTGATATCACTATTAGAAAAACTCGTCTACCAGTCCTT